GCTTTTATTGGAGACAAACACCGAGGCCCCGGAACATTTAACTCATTACCCAAACAATCGACAATTCTTCCCCTCCCCGACCGCCCCACGCAACGTCTCACAGCTGGCAGTGACAAAACACCCTTCCCCACCCAAGCCCTTTCCCCTTAACCAGACCCAAAGGTTCGACAAATCTCCGCTTTCCCAACTGTTTCTTCAAGAAAAAGCACTCCACTTTACTGAATTTTCAGGAATTTTAAGGAAAGGTCCATAGGCTTCGCTCCGTGCCCTGGGCTAGAAGATGCAGGGGAGAGCACAGAACTCAGGGACAGTGAAGGAAAAGATACTAACAAAAAATGAGTGTCTTCTCTGTGCACCATCCTATACAAGTTTAAATATCAAAAAAATATTAAAATGCTTTGCCTGCACAAGCATCTGCAGCCACAAGCAAGACTGTGTGCTCTCAAGAGAGGTGTCTACAGCAAGTTTTCTTCTGCTGGTAACACGGTGGCATCACCTACCACCCCGTTTCCATCATTTAAGCCCTTTGTAGCTGCACTCTTTATGATATACAAGAAATAATCACATTGCTCAAATATAGAAAAATATAAGTCTGTGATTGACAGGGTGTCCGTCCTGCCCAGTTCTTTACTCTGCATCCTTCTGTGAGCGGAGAACGGGCAGACAAGTTCCTTTCACTCTTTAAGTATTGTCCAAACAAACTAAGAATGTCCTTCTTCTTGTGGGAGATTAAACAGCGCCTTTAGGAAGCATCAAGGAATCCGGAGAAACAGGAGCTTCTTTCAATATGTGCCATGAGAAACAGAAATCTGAGCCCTCCGGGACCCAAAACTCCTCTCTAGTGAGTGGGGTGACCATTGCTGGTGGTTAAGGAGACAAGGGAGCAGGGAGTTCTCTCCTCCTGGCTTCTCCCCATCGTCACGGAACGTTCCGTCCAATTCCTGTCACTCCTGTTCAAACGTCTGGAGATGCAGTTCCTCCACGATACGCTTCCTTCCACCACAAGCTGCAGTATGTCATTAAGTCCTAACGAGCAACGCTGGTTTACTGACTTAGGCTGAGGTACAAAGACAATTTTCTTCTTAAAACTGCTTTTTTCTTCCCCGATCTCAGCCTACTTAGCGCCCTGCGTGAAGGTGGCAAGAAAGCTGGTTGAAAAGTGTATTTTGACTTCAAAACCAGTAGAAAATTATTCAGAATGCACATGGCAGCAACCAGTGACCTGCATCCTTAAGAATATTATTTATTTGTTTTCGTAAACAACCTTATTTTTTAAACAAATTAAAAATACATTGAAAAGTCTCTCTATTTATATATACACAGTACATGTTCAAACTTCATTTCATTGTGATGCCATCCATGGTTTTAAGCAAAAAAAAAAAAAAAAACCAAAAAAAGCTCTTGATCCAAAACCAGGTTGCGTTAGGGCCCCCGTGGGCAGCCCAGCCCTTTGGGGAATAACTTCATTTATTATTTATCACCTGAACCGTTTTGCGGCCGTAATGGTAATAGCTGTAGGCAGACGTCACCGTCGTAAAAGCTGTGATGCACCTTTGGGGAAAACAGTTCCTGTAAGTCATTGTGAGTCCGAGATCGATAATCCAAAGTGTTATTTTCAAGCACCTTCCCTATTTTCACACTACGCAGCCAAGGAACGTGTCGTACAGAGGTGGAGTTTGCAGTTTCTACCCTGAAATTCAGTACTAAGCAGAGGATTAGATACACAAAGGAACTGCCGCTCAGCGCTACGCAGCGTGCTTTGGTAATCGCACAGCAGGCTAAATTTTTACAATATTAGCACTTGTTTTAGCAAAGGGAAGACAAAAATCTATTTTGGTATTTGTACCCTATATATTTTTTTTACTAGCTTGAGAACTGACCTATGTGAGAAACTATCCCTTTGTAGTAGGAAAGTGGAACGTTACAATCACACGAGGCTTGAACTTACCATTTTAACAAGTTCCAAAGCTAAAGCACAAGTTTCAGCTTCAGCCTCTCTTGTTCCTTTCCCAGAAGCTGGGTAATCATCATCTATCTCTCTAAATGAGCAGCGTTCCTCCGTGTGTGAGGCCCAGCTAGAGCCCTGCCCTCCCTGGACACACGGCCAGACTCACCCAAGGTCACATCTGAGAAGGCTTTCAGAGGACACCCAGCACTCCTCCTCCTCCACCCACAGCATGGTGACTCTCTCCGAGTCCCAGGCAAGCAGCTTTCACAGATGCAATTCTAGATTTGGTTTACCAACAGGATGATAAACCACACTGACTATTAAGAACTATTTAAGTTCCTTAAAAGCTTTGGGGTTTGGCTTGGTGGTTTGTTTTGTGGTTTTGGGTGGGTTTTTTTTGTTTTGTTTTGTTTGTTTTTTTCTAAAAGACAATTAAGACTGGATTTTCCACTACTTTAAGTTATAAGTAATTCCACTATCTGCTGTTCACCCTCTTGTTCTGAACTCACAGCCGTGGTTCAGACACAGCTCAGACCTCACACGACAGCTGTTACTTAAGGAGGTATGGTCCTGTTTCCATTTCATCCCTCCCATAATCTACCAAGAATCACCAGTTTCTTCAGATGCTTTTCAAAGAGGCTCCAGAAACCTGAAGATTTCAGGAGAGCAGGTACAGCATAAAGCAAAACCAAGAAAACACCTCCCATCTATTTCTACTGGTATCAAGGTTGCTTTTTCAAGGAATAAATAAAGAATCCACACAACCTTTCTGCCCACTCCTTTCTTTCCTATTAATCTGAACTTATACTTTGCCTGTGTACACCAAGTCTATTCTGAAGACTTGTTTCTTAGCTGTTATTCATGGATCTTAATTAGTTTCATTGGGCTACCTTTTGCTTGTGTTGTAAATCAAGTACCAATATCTAGCTCCTGTGTCAGTTAAGAACAAACGTGCAAGAATTCAGGCACATGGATCATCTGGGCACAGGTGGGGTTTTTTCATTCCACACAATTCTATTAATCTCAATCACCAGTTTCTTTAGGAGAAAAAGAAATTATCTGAAAAAACAGCAGAGATGCAGTTACCATAATGTCTGCAGATACACGCTGTCCACGTAATCGAAAACAGGAGCTGCTAAAGAAGCCGCCACCAACATCAGCTGAACCGCTGTATTCATCTGATAAAAGCAAAAGAGGAAACGTGAGCAAAACAAGGACGTGTCCTAGGTAAGGAATACCAATATGCACTTTGATTACTGGCTTAAGTACTAGCTTATATGCACAAAATTTATTTAGAGACCTCTTTTAGTGAGGCATCTTACACACTTGAAATTAGCACGTGCTCTGACAGGGTACAGCTGAAAATCTGTCAGGATTTAAGTTGCCCCCAAGTTAATTGGTGCTGTTTTGAAACCACACTCAGCAGTAAACAGCCCCCTCCCTCCAAACTACACACCACCCCAAGTACCGAGGAGTTACCTTTTGTAACTCTTACCTTGCTAATGAATGTTGGTTTTAATTGGGCAGTAGCGTAACAAGGGTTAAAATACCTACTGAGTGTTCTCTGTTGGGGTAGAAAAGAGAAGGAAAAAAAGGCAATTATAGCGTATTCCATTTGATATACCTCTTCACATGATACAGAAATGTCAATTGTAGCACTAAAGAATTATACTGCTGCTGCTCTTACACGATTTATCACACATCATACACGGGGCTGGGGTTAAGTTATCAGTAGCTCTGACTCATCCATTATGAGACCTATTTTATATTCTGCTTACAAATCTATCTGGCAAAAGAACAAGCACAGCATTACATCTTAGGCCATCCACTCCAGCTTTGAGCAACCAGCAAGTCTCAAGATAAAAATCTCTTGGTTACACCTTTTCTAAACACTTATTCATTTTTTTTTTTTTTTAAATACATGTGAAACTACAGAAGATTTAATCAAAGTGTTCATCCAATTTTGTTTAATGCTATACACTTACCGGTGGAGAAAGAGTTTTGTATCGCACATAAAAAACAGCAGCAATGAGCGCTACATCCCTCAGGATAATCATGGAAGTGAGTGAAACTGAAAAACCAAGCCAACAGGATCTAGTGAAAAATCACATCCACGATTAAAACCCAAACTAAATCAAAAGAGCACAAAATATGAAGCAAGAAGAAATAACCCCTCTCAACTTCTTCTGAACAAGATTTACGCATGGCTGAAGATTTTTAACGTGACTTCTGGAAGTCTTAAAACAATCCAGTCTATGAGAAAGCTTTTCATTATTGCTTTAGAGAAAGTACATTTGAAACTGGCAGTGGCGCTTTTTGTTTTGCAGGTCTGTTGTGGTGGGCGAGCCAAGTTGTTTTTTTTAAGAATTTAATAGGAGCAAATAGCAAAGTGCAGCTGACAAAGCCAGAGTTTTGAGCTATAAACAGTTTTCCTTCTAGACACACAAATTACACACGTATGCATATTACTATGCATAAAATGTGTTCGGTAGCACATGCAAGTAATGACCTTTTCTCACCTGGGATAAGGTTTGCACAAGTGAGGCTCACATAGAGCACGCTGATGAGAATTTTATCAGCCAGAGGATCGAGAGCACTTCCCAAAGCCGATTTTTGATTAGCCCAGTTTCGTGCAATAAATCCATCCAACTAGGAAAGACAAAAGTTCAACGCTCCTCTGTTAGAAAGCTAAGACTAAATACAGCTTATATACACGCCGCTGTTACAGAGGTATCTCATGAATGACAGCAGGCAACACAGCTAGTTTAACTACGATGAAACAGGACACCCGTTAGCTGACATTTGCATCATGCTTTTTTTTCACACCGCATTCCAGATTGGGGAAGCCTCTGTACGTATTCAATTCTCATAATTTAAAAAATAAATAAGAAAGGGGAAAAGGAAAAGATAATTTAAAAAAAAAGTAACTGATGTTCTAAAATTCACATGATTACTGTCACGACGGGTGCACCGGGCACACCAGCACACGGCAACGGAGCACTAGATGCATGAGGACCGAGTGGACAATGCCCACCTGGGGCTGGGCAGGGAACCCTGCCATCCCCTTTGCTCCACCAGCACTAAGTCCCCTTCGGGCATCTGCCAGCTCCCTTCGCGATGGCGCAAAGTTTGTTTCTAGCATTTCTAGAAGACAATGAATATAAAAAACTAATCTGTTTATTCGTTCCCTTTTCTTCACCGGAGTCTTAAAGTTTTCAGCGCACGTCAACGGGATCACCGTAACCCACGCTGCCCCCAAAGGTGTTTCCAAGTTGAGGGGAACGTACCAAATCCGTCACGCCGGCCAAAACAAAGACACCCAGTGCAACATTGAAATTTTCTTCAACAATCAAATAGCCTAAAACCGGTGCCAAACCCATCCTTGCCATGGACAGTATATTTGGGATTGTCCAGGGGTTTTCATACTGCAAAGCAAGAAAGCAAAAAAAAAAACTTCAGGCCAGGAAGGCAAACCCTAACTCAGCAGGTAACAGAATTAATGGAGATAAACACGGGCTGTAAGTTGAAACGGCCAGAAAGTTCTTTGGAAGCAGCCTGCTGTTTGCGCAAGACACACCGACACGGCCTCCAACGACTAAACATTAACTTCACCTTCCAAAGGGAAACAAATGGTGCCACCCAGAGACTCCCAAACCCCCTTTTTCTGACCCAAGTTCGGGCACCACACCCGTTTCCAGGGGGGCTACCAAGGGGCTCCCCCCACGGGGCCGCAACGCCCACCCCCCCCTTCCCCTCCCCTCAGCGGCGGGGGCAGCTTCCCACACCCACACGGCGACAAACCGACGGCCACCCCCCGGGTCACCTACCAGCTCGGCGTACCGCCCCGCCACACGCTGCTCCCGGGGCAGGGGGGGG